TTATCTCCTCTGCCGTGCTCCGACTTTTTTCCCTTTGATTCAAGATCCCCGAGTGCAGCCACTTCATCTTCTTCCCCCTCTGCTGCTGCTTTTGGGGCTTTCTGAACTTTGCTTCACGCGCTGCAAGCGGGAAGGCACCACCTGCATCCCCTTCTGAACTGACCAGTGCCGCCTGTTAAACTCTACCTGTTCCAGTGCAGGTGAAACATCACCGAAACATCACACTTCTCATCTCCTCAGCTGAGGGGCTTCTTTTCCCCCCGCCACCTCATTGCTCTGTGTGTTTTTTTTTTTTTCCCTCCCCTCATCTAAATAAGAGGGTTGTACTCAGTATTTTCAGCCTCACGTCTCTCCCTGGGAGGCTGCGGGGGAGGCGGAGAGCAGCCCGGCGGTGCCACCGCGCGGGAGCAGGCGGCAGGCGGCCCGGCTCGCTCGGCAGCGGCGCCTCCGCGGCCCGGCCTCGCCGCGCGGCGGGTTGCTCTCCCGCTGCCGGGTGACACGGCGAAGGGAAGGCGCGAGGCCTTGCTCTGAATAACCTGTGGCGGGACGTGGGAGCTCGTGGCTGCTTTGCATCTCTGTCCATCTTCCAGCCGAGGCGGGTGCCCCTTAAAAGATTTCAGGCCTGGAGACAGCTGGAGATTGGAGTGTCCTTCCTAATCACCATCCGTGGGCTCCTTCGGGTCTCCAGGGTCAGCAGACCACAGGTGCAAAATCACTATTCTGAAATTTTGCAGCTGAGAGGAACAAATGGCTTCAATTACAAAAATTCCCATGCTTTTCTGGCAATTTTACCTCTCCGGAGCACGCTAGTGGTTGGTCAAAGCATGCTAAAGTCATGAAGAGCTTCTCCTTGAGTTTCCCACTTTTGAAGCAATTCACTGCTGTGTCCTGCTCTTACTGAAATGGCCTAAATTTGACAAGCTGCCTGTGTGAGGAGACATGTGGACAGCCCAGGGGCAGGTGACACTTCAGTCACTGTCAGCTCAGCCTCCCTGGACCCCGTGCAATAGCTGCTGTGAGTTTTGAGGTGTCAGCAGGGAGGGCTTCCTGCCTCTTGCCTTCTAGAACTGCAAAGCTAAATACACTTTATTCTTTTGCAGACTGTCCTTTCTGCTGAACGACACCGTCTGAAACTTGTGAAAAAGTCAACTTGTGACGGCACAGGAGTTTCCATCACTAGCTTCTACTGTCTTGTCTCCCAAGGAAATGAAGAACAAGCTGAGGCAAATTTTCCTGCTGCAGTGGAGGGAAGGGATGCTAAGTCATACGCATCCCTGCTAAAGAAGTGTTGATTCATGTTTCTGAATCACACCTTTCAAAAGCAAGGGAGCCTCGAGACGTTTGAAGCATGACTCTCGAGGCATCAGGGGAGTAGCCCCAACCAAGTAAATAATGATTTACTCGGTGAGTAAGAGCAATCTCCTCCGGGGTTTTCAAGGGCAGCACCAAAAGCACGTGTCCATGTTGGGGTATGCAGGGGTGGTCACACTCATTATACATGTATATGTATTAACCTCTTCTAAAGACGAATTGACGTGAGCCAGTCTGCACACTGATACATAGAAAAATGTCCATGCAAAAATATTTGAACTGCTGCAAATATACTTGTGGAGCTCCTGCGGTGTAAAAATAACTCCACCGTAGAGCAGTAGTAGGGAAAATGTAACTAACTTTCACAGACAATTTCTTTTTTACATCCTTTTCTTTCAGGTTGCCCAAGAAAAATAAAAATTGAGAAGCTAAATTGGTCTCTGCTATATTTCCACTGAAGAGCATAGTTTTGCCAATGATATTTGCCAGAAAAAAAAAAAGAAAAAGAAAAAAAAGGGGGGRAAAAAGGAGGAAAAAAAGGAAAAAAATGATGGTAACAGAGCACAAGGATCTGATTTCCAAAGACACACAAAAAAAGCTTGTGATGTTAAATACAAATTTAAGCTGCCTGATAATTATTTTTTTGATGCTAAGAATTTGCAGGGTCGCCTTTTGAAGGCACTTAACATTGGGATAGATTGGGATCCCACTGTTAGTGGGATTGAGCCCCAGATGTAGTTTTTATTGTATTCCATGTGTTAAATTCATTCCCTGAGTTGCATCTGTAAAAGCCAGCAGAAACTCTGGCAGAAGGTCCTTGGCTGAGAAGTCAAGAATCTAGAAAGAGGAAAGGATTGCCACAGTGGAAAATACCCAAACCTCTTTTACGCAGGGCGCTCACATACAGCAAAAGCGGTTCCAGTTTCTGCTGGTAAGTCCTGCAGGCTTTTGAGGAGGAAAAAGCTTCCCTTCTTACTGGAAATGCTTGTGGGAGGAGGCTACACCACTTCCCCAGATAAAGTCTATCACGGGGCCAAAGTGCATCCATTGAAATGTCTGGGCATACACAGCCTGGAAGAGCTGTGAGGGCTTGTGCAAGTCTCCATATTTTGTTGAAATATTAAAAAATAATATTTTGTTGCAGAGCTGTGGCACTGAGAAATTACAGCTAAATAACCAGAAGCTCCACGCCATAAGGATCTGTGATTCTCGAGAAATTTTGTGTGGTTCAGGAGTGGTCCACATAGGGCCCTCATGATAAAATGACCTCCTGCAGTTGGCACTGGGGCCACCCAGCACCGAAAGCCTGGCTGATTCAAAGCGCCAGCTGAAGAGCTGGGAGGGACACCGCACCCAGCTGCACACCCAGCCCACAGGMCAAGGAGCATCCTTGGACAGAGCCGCCATCCTGTCCTGTTTGCAGCCGCCCTCAGAGCTCTCATGGACATCACGAGGGATTTAGTGGCTCCTGCCCATTTGCAGCCTTTGCTAGGCTGCCTGTGCGCTCCGCGGGGTTGGCCTGCTGTGCTCCAGAGCCTCCCAGATTAGCAGGATACAGGTGTCCATGTGGTGTAAATGTGCTGTGACAGGCTGGAAACATCAAGGTCATCCGTCTGCATAGGAAAGCGGCCTTCCAGGTGCTTCACATAAGGCATTGCAGAAAGGAAAGTCACCTTCCAGGTGCTTCACATAAGGCATTGCAAGTTTCCATTAAAGCTGGAATATCCAGTGTAGTGTAATAAAGGTTTTATTTTAAGTTTGGCTAAGCCTATTTAAAACTTGGGTAGGTGAAGTGCAAGGTATCTCCTTTACCTTCATGGAAGTCTGSCATACCTAATGCACGTAGTTTTTAAATTCTTCATTTTTAATAGATGCTTCTCCATGAGGTCATATCTACCACCCCAGTGCTTTCATTCCCCAGTTAGATGAAAGAGATATTTACACTATATGTTCTTGTTCACGCTATATACTTAAATACATGGGTGTGGTTAAATTCTTATATCAAGAGGCAGAAAACATCTGCCTCTTGATATAAGCAATCTGGTACATACCAGACATGGAGTCAAGCATTTTAGCGTAGTATATTCCTTTAGGATTACGCTTACCTAAGGGAATTTCAGATTCTTCTCCCTAAATTCTCGTCACATGACATGTCAGGGGTTTTCCCTCCATCTGTCTGGGATTGGTCAGTGCAATTATTTTGTAAAACGTTGTGTTAGTGCTTTTGAAATGACCAGAAATACTTCTAATCAATATGCAGGTTTTGTTTATTCCTCTTAAAGATGAAAWTTTTGTGTTAAGTACAGGTGCAAAGAAAACTACAAAACAGCTTTTGTGGAAGGAGGTGTCTGCAGGCTGAGATCAACATTATTGCTGAAGTTTGCTCTGTTCTAGAAGTAAAGAACTAGTGTAGCGCTGTTGTTAAGATGAGGTCTTGTTCCCTCATCCCTTCCCCGTGAAGTAACATCGCCAATTCTGCGATCAAGGCAACAGCRCCCTGAGTGGCCATGTAGCGTCAGCAGGAATTCTTACATGCATCCAATCTGTAGTGGGGGATCAAATATTATCCATCCTTGGGCATCTACAGGCATCTGATCGGGTAGATACGACGTTGCAATATAAATTAGCTGTGTGGTAGGTCAGCTTTCAAAAGAAAATTGGCAATGGTTCAGAAAGTTGTGTGACCTTAAATATAAGAACAAGTATTAGGTGAGGATTAGCAGGCAAGGGGATGTCAGAGTCCAATTGTCTTTTCATGATATTTTTAGGGCAAATGAGGCCTCGTCTCTTTTATCATATGTTTCTGTTATCACCACCCCATACAATAACAGGACAGTTCTTCCTCACAAGAGGTCAATTCTGGCAAATAGAGTTTGCTTAACCATGGCAATCTTCAAGCACAGGTCAAGATCATACTCAGGGAATTTGGASAAAATTTTCATAGTCTCTGTAGGTTTCCATAACGATGTTATTTCCTGTGGGAGAACCTCCTGGGGAGAGGGAACAGAAAGTTACCGAGAAGCTTCCCACTTGGACATTAGGGAATACCAGAATTGACGTTGCTTTTCCATACACAAAGCACATTTGGAGCTCRCACAGCTAAACCATGTCCAACTTTAACTTCCATGTTCAATGTTTAMTGAACCCCAGTGTTTAATGAACCCCATCCCGTTCATTTCGCACCCTCAGCAAATGGCGGGCGCGGGGACCCCCCCACCCGCCAACGGCCGCCAGCGGGCGGGGGAGGGGACTACGACTCCCGGCATGCACCGCGCGCTGCCGCCCCCGCCCCCGCGGCGCCTGTGGGGGGGGCAGCGGCGCGCTGCACGCCGGGAGCCGTAGTTCGCCACGCGCGGATCCGGAAACGTGCTGGGGGCGGGGTGGGGCTTAGCTTTCTCTCCTTCGCCGAGCGGGAAGAAGCGGGCGCGAGTCTTGTTTTTATTATTATTATTATTATTATTATTATTGTTATTATTTTCCATTTGCTTCCTCTCCTCCTTCGCCTCTCCCTCCCTTTTCCGCTCTCCGCGCGGCGCGGCGGCGGCGCCTTTAAGGCCGCCCGGGAGCGCGGCGGGCGCGCCTGCGCAGCGGGGCCGTGACCCTGCCGGCGGCTGCCGAGGGTCCCGCGGCGCCCGCTCCCGGCGCGGCCGTTGGCACCGCGCCCCTCCCCTCCCCCCGCCGCCGCCGCCATGGAGGGGCCGGCCGAGCGCGGCGGGACGGCGGGCGAGGCCCCCGCGGGGCTCATGGCGGAGATCCGCGCGCCGGGCCCGCGCCCGCTGCGCCTGCTCGAGTGGAAGGTGTCGGTGGGGGCGGCCGTGCAGATCGGCTCCGTGCTGGCGCTCTGCGCCCCGCTGCCGCCCGCCCCGCGCCCCGCCGCCGCCGCCGCCGCCTCCGCGCCGCCCGCCGCCGCCGGCTCCAGCCGCGCGCCGCGGGCCGCCGCCGAGCGCAAGGTGAAGGCGGAGCGGCCCGGCGTGGTGCGCGAGCTGTGCGCGCGGCCCGGACAGGTCATCGCGCCCGGGTGAGTGCCGGGCCCGGCCCGGGCCGCGGCGGGCAGGGGGAGGGAGCCGCCTCGCGGCCGGGGCGGCCCCGGGGGGCTCCGCGCGCTGCCGCCCCTGCCCCGGCCTGGCGGGCGCTGGGCAGCGGGTTCGAGGAAAGCCAGGCGCCCTCTCGAGCTTTCCTTCCCCGCGAGGAAAGTTTTATACCCCACGTGCCAAGCGGTCGCCCTGCGTGCACAGAGCYGCGCTCCAGGGCCCCGCGCTTCCCTGTGAGCCCTACCTCGGAGAAGGGAGCACCCCCTCCGCGTGTCTCACAGCGCTGTGGAAGCGGCTCTTGCTAACCAAGCTACTCGGAGATGCTGCTTCCACGCTTCCCAGCTTCCTGCTTGGGCTGTGCAAAACTCAGCTACTGAAGGGACCACTTACTGATTAATAAGAGGGATTTTAATGCTTCACCAAAGCAACTTACTTTCACTGATAAATGTCATACATACAATACTAGCAGTCTAGATGCTGTTAACCCCACAGGTATTTTAATGCATATGGTGTCACAAATACAAACTAGATAATGGAATTTAAATTATCAAAAGAGTAAGGCACTAAATATGAGTTTGTTTGTTTTTCCATGGTTCAACARTGGCTTTGCCCTGGTAAGATTGCATATTGGTTAACTTGCTTCTTAAATGGCTCGTAGGGCCTCTCACAATTTCTATGTTAAATTGGGCTAATAGCTTGCTATCCTGCACTTCAAGCAGATTTCTTTCTCRACAGGAAACCATTGAAAGCCTCTACTTCCTCTGTTTTATGACAGCAGGTTATTTTCTTTTATTGCCATGCTCTTGGTTCTTGGGTGGGTGCAACCAGGCCTAAGCTTTCCTGATTGAAAATCAGGAGTATATGCAAAGCAGCTGTGTGCAGAGGCATTCTCAGGGGTTCAAAACCAGTGAGTTTTTATCAGTCAGAACAGTGAAATGATAGAGAGCAGATAGAAACTGGATTTTTTTTGTCTTGCTGCGGAGAGCACTGTTTTTGCTGTAGTAAGGCTGCAGCTTTTTCCTTCTGCTGTGCTGTTCGACCTCTTGCCTGTGGTGCAAGGCAAGGCCCTTCAGCATCYGCTTCAGAACCTGTGTGCCATGAATGCTGACTCTGATGAAAAGTGTCTGAAAATACACACTAAAATTCCACCGGTGTGCATCTATGGGATGGAGGTGCAGTGCCCATCTATCAGCTGGAGTCGCTCTTGCTAGCGCTTYGTGGGAGGACTGCTGAGTTGGTCTGGTGTGTTTCCATTCTGTTGACTAAGCACCTTGGGGGAAAAACAGAAGCAGGAAGGCATTAGTTAGTAAGCAACTGAAAATTATGCTGGGATGAGGTAAGTGCGTTTTAGCTTTGCTAAATGTGAACTTTAGGGCTTTATCCACAAAACTCTATGCAGTGCTTATGTTGGATTTGTTTCCTCAACATGGATTCACTCAATAGATGACTTTACTGCTTGTAGAGAATGCTCTTGTCTGGCTGTTTCGCTTGTAGCTTMCTAGCACACTTTCTTACACGGCTAAAAGTTAGCTTCCTGTTACTGACTGTTGCAAGACTTTGCTTTTCTGGAATTCTGAGTTGCCAGCTAGCGTTTGCTATTGCAGGTTATAATGGTAGTTATTGGGAAAATGGGAAAGCACCATCCAAGAGAACYGCTGGTGGGAGGATGTGTGAGGATACCAGCGCTAGCTCAGCAGCTGGAGGCMGAAGCGTAGCCATTGCCTACAGGCTGCGTGCAGTCACTTAGGAGTTTTCTCTGTGAACGTTACATCTTTTGGCTGTGGTTTCCCCTTTTGGAATGGGAATAACAACATCTCCATACTTGTGAGCAGCATTTACTRTTACTTTTGCAAATAGTGTTAAGGTTACGTGGTATTAAAACATAGTAGTGGTAAAGTACTAATAGAAGGAGAACTACTATAGTAGTGATAAAGTAGATCTTTCTTTTTCTTATTGCTATGGGATAAACCTCTTTATCCCTATTATCCATGGTGGTTGGTGCCAGGTGCTGCCTTCAAAAGAAATCCTTTTGGYCAGGTTAGCCCCTAACTCACTATGAGATAAAGATGCATGCAGTAGTTCAGCAAACACTGCACTAGTAAGCGATTACACCTGGCATAGAATGAAATATATCAGGATATGAAAGTGATGGACTATATATTTAGCACTTAATTTTCCTATAGTTTGGTTATCTACTTGACAGTGCTGTTGACTTAAGCAGTCAAGCCCTCCTTTCTGCATGGTCCCATCTGACATCGCATTGCTTTGGCAACAACAAAATGAAGTTGGTGTGAGTGCTGTGGCCTGGGAGGAGGAAGCTTTTCCGACGTTTCCGAGCAGGATCTGCAGTGCTGAGGGCTGTCAGCCCAGGGAAGTGGATGGTGTGAGGTGGAGCTGGCAGCTCGGGGTGGGCAGAGGGTCCCCGTTGCAGGTMCTCGTCCAGGGAGGCTTGCATCGAATCCCGGGGCGGGCCTGGAGAGAGCAGGATTGGGCCTCTCAGGAGGGTGAATAGCAGGGATGATGGCAGGCAGTTAATGAAAGGCCTTTGATGTTAAGGTAACTTCGGTCAGCGCCAGCAGCAACCTATAAAATGTCAAGAGCTGCTGCCACGCTCTTTATGTTATTAATGTCACTTACACATCCAGGTTAATTGCTCGGAGGCAGCCAATGGTATGGCAGGATTCTGGGGTCGGGGAATATTTTGTATTTTATGGAAACATTTACATATGCATTCGTAATATGAAATGGTTGTTTCCTTTCAGGCCCCAATGATGGGATGGACTACTTAACTTCTCATATGTGATTCATGTTAGCAGGATCTTCTGAAAGATTTATTACCTGCGCATCTGAGCTGCGTGCCTTTGTGTCATCTTGCTAGCTTTGTTAGCTAAATCTTCACATTCTTAAATGTTACTTTATGTAAAGTACATGAGGGTTGTATCAAAATCTTGTTTGAACATACCTGAATTCTAAAGAAGCCAAATTTACATCATTTTTTTTGGAGAAGTTAGCAAGAAAGAGGAGGGAATCTCTTCCTTAGAACTGCACAGTGTTGGTCTTGCCACTTGGTGTTTGTTGTATCAAAAMCTTCATTATACAGAAGGGAAAGCTTCCTTTGCTTATCTAATGCCACTAAGCTTAGGGGCCTAGTTTGCCACCCAAGATGAGAAAGACATTTAACCTTAGGCCACAGYGCCTTTCATCTAGCAGCCTTCAAGGGGAATAAAATACTGATGAGTTACAGTTTATTTGATGTGATGACATTTGTAATAAACTACAGAAGAATAACTTACTGCTTCAGTTAGACATAAATGTTTCCACAATGTCCTGTCAGATATTTAATGAGCTTATTAGAGCCTACAGAAAAAAAAAAAAAAGTCTTTAAAAACCCAGGATTGCTGAGTAACACTTGACAGTTTCTGTTTACTACATCTCTCACCTACTTTACTTAAAGTGAATAAAAATTATTTTTAAGTAAAGTATCTTTCCATCTTATTTCCTGTGTATTTCTGCTGTCCCCCCTGCACCTCACCCAGCCTGTATACTGTGAGCTTTGTTACCAAGGAAGCCATTTTTTTTTAGCACATCTGTCTTGGATGTGGTTGAGTTCAATACTGGAAAAGGTCAGAGTTCTAAATGAAGGGTTTCCTTCTTTAATCTTTTTTTCTCTCTCTCTCTCTCTCTCTCTCTCTCTCTCTCTCTCTCTCTCTCTCTCTCTCGCCCCCCCCCCCTTACCCTCTCCTTAATTCTCTGGAAGTTTTCTCTAACAAGCTGGGAACTCGCCCTGTAACAGCTTCCTTATCTCAGAGCATCAAGTGCTCAGCCAGGTTTGGCTGGAATCGGACCAGAGGCTCGGGAGTCACCAGGAGAGGTGGACGACTCTGCAGCGTGACACTTGCAGCTGCCTTGTAGCACTTTCCACTGTGGCTTCCTTAGGCTATCGTTTCATGGTTGTTTCGGGCTGATGTGAGCGTTGGCCAGAAGGAATCTCACACATCTATCTGCCTGCAGTTTGCAGTGAGTTGGATGTTGGAAGTGATCTAGCTTGGCCTCTTTCCTTCTTTTCCATCCTTCCCTCCTGACCTCCATCAAAACAGTCCATAACAATCAATTCCCTCGTCTGGGTCATATGCGCTAACRTGAGTGTAATGTAGGGAAAGAGAGGACAGAATGATGCTTTCAGCAGCAGGCTGCATGTAGGTCAGATGAAAGTGGTTGTAGTTCACTTCATTGTAGTTCACAGTGTAGAAGCTGGTGTAATTGAGGGGATGGAAGCGTAGTCTTGAGTAACATGTTACTTTTATTCTTACAGGGCTTCCCTCACACCGGGGGCTCTCTGTTCTCAGGGTTCCTACCACAAGTCTGTGATTTTGCTTGAACTCAAGGACTTTGCCACTTGTCTGGGAGCCTGTGCAGAACCCTGTGGGCCTGCAGACACACTGAGATAGCTCAGTTATTTTGAACATCCCATTGTAGATCTGCCAGTTGGTGGTAGTTCTTGGGGGAAAAAAGTGTATATTTACAGGTACCTGCATTGGAATTCATTCTACTTTTCACAATCCGTAGTGAATTTTTGTTTAATTGCTGTCTAGATTCTTTACTGTGTTTTTTCTAGCTTTACTTCAGTGCTGGAGCTGTTTAGAAAATCACAGACTTTGTGCTGCCAAAGCTGTATAGTATGTTTTTAAACTTTTTTCTGTAATCGTAAAACAACAAAAAAAAAAAAGAGAGAATGTACGTACAAAATAGGGCTGGGATGATTGATTATTACACTGTGAAATGCCTGCCCCTTTGRACTGAAAGGAACTCAAGGTAGGAAAGAAGAGATAAGAGCTTTTGCTTTGGTTTTCATTTTTTATAAAGCTTCTGTGTTGACTTTTTGTTCTCTCCTGTTCCCTTTAAGACACTTCAGAATTGCAGCCTGTGTGCCTACATGGCACAACTGTCTGATTCAGCGACTGATTATTTTACTGGGCTGGTCCTAGTC